CTTTTATTTATTATTTATTTCAAACTGACTTTAAAATCGGGCGCAAGAATAATGCATTATTTAGGTTATGTTACTTATGCTTTTTTATGATATAAATCCACTTTTCTCTTTGTAGTAATTTGTGCTTCGAAGTTGGAAACGAATAAACCTTAAATTGACAATTTTTTGTTGTATTTTTACAATTTATAATACAGCATTTCCTAAATCCCATTTTCTTCAGTGACAGAAGGTGTAAATAAACAAACGAGTATGAAATATGACAATTGACAATATGAATTTATGAAATCTATGAAATGTGCAGTAAAAAATGCAAGATTTCTCCGCTACTCGCGCACGATCGTTTCTCGTATCACATCCAAGTACTTGCACGTCGCCAATAGGAGGCTCATGACACAAGTGGACAGAACAAGTTTGTTGCGAGTGGCATGCGCCTACAGGACTGGGTCTGCGGCAGCCTTGTGGACCATCACTGGATATGTTCCGTTGCATGTTTTGGCGGTGGAAAGAAAAGAGCTCTATGAGAGAAGAGACCCAAACCTTACTGTGGCCGAGAGAAGACATGAAAGGGAAAGGTCAATTGAAAGATGCAGGAAGAATGGAACAATACGGAGGATGTGGCACAGTGGACGAAACTGCTGATTCCGAACATAAAAGATTGGGTGGACTGTCGCCACAGGCGACTGGATTAGTTCCTGACGCAGATGCTCACAGGATACAGGTGTTGTAGGGTCTACCTCTTTAAGATCGGAAAGGCTGACACAGATGAATGAGTATACTGTGGATACTCGGACACTGTGACACATACGATGTTAGATTGCAGCGGATGGATAGTAGAAAGGAACAGAGTGGAGAAAGAGACAGGTGTGAATTTTGTTACAGTGAGAGAAATGATTGAAAACAAATCAGGTGGGACTAACATACACAGCTATATCCGTGCAGTGATGAAGAAAAAGGAAGAGGAAGAAAAACATCTGGACCAACGGCAAAGGTAAGAGTGAAAGATGCTGGAAGTTGAAGCTAGAAAAGTGGATCAAACTGTATGAGTTAGAATGCCTGAGTCAGACTGTGGGGAGGGAGGAAATGCCGCCTGGGAATGATGCCGTAGGATCGATGAGGGTCTTCTACGCGCTAGCTGAAACGAGACAGGGAGCCGCTTTGCTGATGAATGGGGTGTGGATGTGGATGAATGGAGAATTAATGAATGATGGTAGTGCTTCGGAAGGCATGCCGGCCTTACAGCGGCCATTCCGCTTCCGGATCGCTGGATGACAGAGGATGGTCTGGTTTAGCAGGTAGGCGTTCGGCGTAGACTCTGCGACGAGAGGGCATTTTAATGTATTTCGAGAACTATCGCCGGGAGTACGAAGAACGAATCCTGCATTATGGTCAGTCAGGCCGCGTCCTGGACTAAGCTGTCTTTTGAAGATTCCAGACCTCCCATCTATAAAGACGAAAAAAAAGCTATGGTCTCAGGATTTGTGTAGACAATAGATTTATCAGTAGAAGACAGATGAATATTAAAAGAAAACATTGACAACTGTCTTCTGTAGTACACCTCGTTTGTGCTGATGTGTGGAAGTGAGACATTTCTTTGGTAGTCCATGACCAGAACTTCATATCCCTTGTCACGTATAGCAAACTTTTTTGCCTCCTTCTTTCGGTCATAAAACACCTTGGCCTTTAATTTGTGAAGTTTGTTTTCTATGTGTAAGCATTTTAATTTACTTTCTACTTCGAGATTGTATTCTTGTTTTTGTAGAGAAGTGACTTCAGCCAATTATTTATCGCACTCACTGCACGAATCTGACCTCGGAAAACCAAAAGGAACGTTAAATTTATGAAATACTCGTCGATAGCTGTCATATACAATCTTTACCTGAGGATTTTTTTCTTGAAATAATTTGTAGATTTTTTTTACATTTATATTAATTTTATGGAATCTTTAGTAATAGTGCTTAGTTTACCATAGTGGCCAATTGAAGTGCTTACCTCTTAGATCAGATGATGCAACGCCGTTCATTTTAAACCATATTTGAACATACTCAACTGTTTCCTTAGTAATGCCGTGGATTGAGCAAAATGCTTTGAAACAAACAGGTATCTCTTGCATTTGAGCATCTTTCAAAGCTCTAACCATATAGTCAAAAGAGCAGTCGTGATGTTTCGGAATTCGGCTGTCTAGAACGTCTTTGTGCGATCCTTTTGATCGAGATCGAGAGAATTACAGCTGTCGCTGCTCTCATGACTCTACAGACGAAGTTTTCGCATGATATCAGTCATTCGTCCTTTAGATTCTTTTGTTTTGGTGATTCCACATCTTCATGACTTCTTGCCATTTTCAACACCTAATCAATTTATTAATCACAGTAAATAAGCCACACAATTCAAACTAATTCGACGCACAATAACTTCTAAACCAACAAAAGCCAGAATAAGAAAACAAAAACACGTGTCTCGTAAGGGCTGCGCTGTTCCCGAGACTGACACTGACATTCCTTGTTACTTGCAATTCCGCTTGGACATATAGTTCTTAGCAAGTATAATAAAAATGTATGGCCAGCTTTTAACTGACATTGCTTGTTATTGCCTACCGATAACTTGTGCATCACAAACATTCCTAGTTTCTCCGTCAGATTGCATTATTACGTTGATTTTAGACAAAAATGTATATTCCTTGTTTTCCCCCGTAGTCTTCATATTTTCTCCCTAGCGCTAAGAAATTTCTAACAAATATATGGAATTGGCCATAAAACAAGTGAATAATTTTCTTATTCTTCTTCTTTATGTGCGGTCTTCTACCGAAGATTGGCGACCATCACACGATTGTTTCTCTGTATTATGCCGCATGTATTATATTCGCAGCTTCTGGTATTTGAAACCATTCTCTCAAGTTTCTCAGCCAGGATTTCTTCTTTCTGACCAAACCTCTTTTACCTTTAATCTTGCCTTCCACGATAAGCTGTAGTATACTATACTTATCATTACGGATCAAATGGTCCAGGTATGATGCTTTCTTCCTTTTAACAGTTGTTAACAATTCCACCTCTTTGCCCATTCGTCTTAATACCTCTGTGTTGGTCACTCTGTCGGTCCAAGGTATTCTCAGTATGCGTCGATACAGCCACATTTCTAGAGCCGCTAACTTCTTTATAGTTACTGCTGTTAACGTCCACCCTTCTACTCCGTAAAGTAGCATAGAGAGTACGAAGCATTTCGTGGCGCGCCATCGGAGGTAAGACTTAGGTTGCGGTTGCTTAAGAGCTTTCTGTATTTGATGAATTTGGATCTTGCTATTTCAATTCGGATCTTAATCTCTACATCTAGGTCCCACTTATCATTTACTGTATATCCCAGATATTTAAATCGGTTGTACTCTTTCAATACGTTCGGCTTCAATATTCAGGTCGATATGTTGAATGTTCTTTTTACTGATCACCATATATTTTGTTTTCTCTCTATTGATCTTCAGTCCAAATCGGTTGCCAGTTGTATTTACTCTATTTAGCATCATCTGTAAATCTTCGATGTTATCGGCCAGTATAACAGTATCATTTGCATATCGAAAATTACTTATTGGTACGCCATTAATCTTGATGCCCTCGATGTACTCTTCCAGTGCCTCTAGAAATATTTGTTCCGTGTACAGGTTGAAAAACAGTGGCGAAAGAATACAGCTCTGTCTAACCCCTCTCGAAGTAGTTACGTTTTCACTTACCATACGTCCATTCTTCGTGTGGGCTGTTTGATTCCAATATAGATTTTTTATAATCTGGACGTCTTTAGTGTCAAGTCCTGTAAGATGTAATAGTTCTATGAGTTTGTTCTATGTTCTTTGATAGTATCGAATGCTTTCTCATAGTCGATAAAACAAGCGTAAACATATTTCTGTTGATCCAGGAATTTTTGAATCATGAATAATTTTCACATTGCATTATATGGACTAAAAAATGCGTAATATACATAGATACAGTACGCTTAAATTAAATAAAATATTCAAATTTATCAAAATCAAGTTTATTAGATATGTAAGATAGATAATTGCCCCTCTTATTGACAAAAATACATTATCACTCAACTCGTACAGTAAAAATATTTCTACGTTATTATAGTTACAATTCGTTTTATATGTATCGATATTAAAATCACCATAAGTAATTCAATATATGTTTGGTTTGACTATCTTCTCCAAAACCGTCTCTAAGGATTCAAAGAAACTATTAAGATTGCCAGGAGATTAATAGAAATGTATAGATGTAGTGGAAGTCGGTCATATATGTGTCAGCTACCATAATTTCAGCCACAATTTCGTGTTACCCTGCAGATTTCTTAGTTTTTTTTTTTCATCTGTTGAGGATCTTTTGCTTTTCAGTTAGTATCTGCCATTGTTCATCTTCAAACGTGAGTGTCTGTATTTTGAAGTCTCGAGTAATTTGCATAGTTTTCAGGAATAGGTGTCTTGATTCATGTAATTGTGTGGGTCATCAATCTGAAAATAAATCAAATACCATTTTTTAATTCTTACAGTAATCAATTAAAACAATTTTTTTTACAGAAACCTCTACGTCCTTTTCTTCCGGCACTTATTTTTCTATGGCCCCTTAACTTTCTTTATTATGTTTCAGCCGAGTATCTTTTCCCATTCTGTAGGCACGTTTTGTTATTTACAACTACGGGCATAATTATTGTTTACTAAATTGAAGTAAAAAAACAACTACCCTTAAATCAGAAACTGCAAATATGTATATAATACTAAGTTTTTACTTACCTAGTGATTCTTTTTGTTGTACTTTATCTTTGGCCAACATTACCAATATTTTGGTAACCCGGTTACTCATTTTTAGTTTATATAAGCCGTATTTCAATTTAAAAAATGCACAGTTGATCTTACAGGTTTGCTGTTAAGCTTGATGGATATGTTACGATATACCTAACCCATAGATTACCATAGATTATTATATAAGAAGTAAATGTTTCGTATATATAAATTGTGAATTTTGTAGGTTGAACAAAGACAAAATAGCCTTACCGAAGTTTTAATGAAAGAACTAGAAGTTAATCCTGATAAATCTTTACAAGGAGGATTGAGGGCTGCCAGAAGAGCAGTGAGGTTATTAAATCAGTTAGGAAGAGAAAACCAAGTAAGTATTTGAAACGATACAATTTCCGTATACAATTTTCCATTCTTTTCCTACAGAAAATTTCGTGATCGTTGCAATAAAACACAACTGTTTAGGATTTCCCTAAGTAAATTAGTTATTAAATAAACAGTGCTGGAAAGAGTATATTTCATTCAACAATGTGAAAATAAAGTACTACATGAAACCTATCGAAGGTTTAAACCTCAGATATAAGTAATACTGCGACCACGCTTGATAAGTGAGATTACCGGGATTAATACCCTAACGTAAACCGCCGCAACTAATGCAATGGACGATGAGCGATCAAAGGTTAGTCACTCTCACAACTGGTTACGTCGTGGTATGATCCGTTGTCTATTTCACTATTTCACGTAAGGCGCCCAACACCACCAGTTAGACGGCACGCGTATGTCAGGAAGATTAATATGGATCTGATATAAGGAATATATGAAGACACGAAGAAATTTAATTAAGGAATCTTAACCAGAATTACTAAATTTGTACTGCATTTCAATGCAATTTCTTCTAAACAATTATGTATATATCTTTATGCGGAAATATTTCTTGTTGGTATTTCACATTTATATGTAAACTATATATCCCAGATATATTTATATTTCTTCTCTAACAACATTTATTTTTTAGTCATGTAACTTATTCCTGAAATTGTGTAGCAGTATGTTAAGAACACAGTGTAAGCGTGTAAAAAGAGAAGGATCCACCACAACATACATACGAAATTTGGCGAGTGTAGTATTCACTAATATGTGTCATATGTCTGATGAGTTTCTAAGGGCCTTTCCCGATTCACCAACTTGTGCTTCAGGTATGTATCTATTTATTATGTCAAAATTATATTAATCGGCAATAACAAGCTAGGTGAGTATTTCTTAAAACGCTGCTGTATCGAAAGTGACAGAAAGATTCCAATGAAAGTGAAAGAAATTTTTTTTATAAAACTGTCCTAAGACCAGGAAAAGAGAATGAGAGGGAATGCACCTGGCGGAAATGAGAATGTTAAGATGGATGAGGGTAGGACAAAAAATGATAAAATTTAGAATGAATATTAAGTCTAAAGGTGGCACCAATACATGCTATAAGTTAAGATGATTATGGCATGATCAACATCGAATGATAATCAACCAATACGAAAAAGTCGGGTTTAGGGCTTACTGATGATGGCATTTTTTGTGTTAAGATTGATATTAATCGGTTTTAATAGTAACCTACATTTTTCTATATTTTCAGCTTATGTTGTGTGGGCCAGCAACGAACTACTGCTTTTTACTGGACATTTTATAAAACAAGTATTTATGCCACAGACTTCGTTATCAACTGTTACAGAATGCATAGTATTAGTCCGAACGCAATGTGAAAGAGTAAGTGTATATATTATTATAGACACTAGTGTCCAAAATTATGGAAACTTTACAAAAATTATCGTTTTTTCAGCTCGTCTCATGATCGTGATTTATATACAGTGTGGAAACCACATATGCAATAAAATTGTTTGTGTCCTTATTTTAGAAAATAATAAAAAACTCTGGGACACGTTAACTTTTAAATTTAAATGTGCGCTTTTTAAACATACATACATACTGTACATTCAAATTTATGTTTAAAAAGCGTACTTTTAAATTTAAATCTTAAAATATCTCAACGTTTTTTATTATTTTCTTAAATAAGGACACAAACAATTTTATTGCATATGTGGTTTCCACACGTAGTTTATCAGTACCGTTCCCGTCATAAAAAACTGGTACAACTCTTATAATCAAAAATCGTGTTTTTTAAGTTGTGTACGTTGATCTTGTCATATGTGTCATTCTAATTTCTAGCGCACAGTTGCCAGTTCAAGGAAAATATTATATCAAACCAGCTAAAAGCAGGACTATGTGACAAACCGCCAGTTTAGAGTATACTAAAAACTAAAACATTATCGAGCATTCTTGATCACTCAGTCACATTAAATTTGTTTAAACATGCATTCTAAAAAATTCTCATATTAATTTTGTAATTTTCCATCATCGCAATTAAGTACCCATACATTGATTTGTGTTTTATAACAATTTATGAAAATATTATTTCAATTCAAAAATAATGACAGATAATCAATCTAAACAAACTTCAAATTGTTATAATAAAACATTACAGTGAGATATTGGATTGTAACTGTTACGTTTTGAAAAGCGTTTTTTCGCGCCGAATATTTTATAGTTTATAATACGTAGGATAAAGTATAATGTTAGTTTTTCACATTTTTTATCGTTCTTGTAATAAATAATAAATTAATCTTGGTAGTTTGCCTGTTACAAAACTTATTGACGCAGAATACAGTTCGAGTTCGGTAGGTAATAAAAGTATAAAGTTACAGTTGATGCATTATAATGTTCCATGTGTCAATATCCTAGGTTTAAAGATCCTTTTAACATTTTGGATAATAACTCAATCCCATCTCTGCTTATTTAATTTCTTAGATACGATTTTTTGTTGTTAATGATATAAATAATACCTATCTAAAAATTTTATACATTTTTGGACGTTATTTTTTTATTTAGATTTGGTGCAATTCCGTTATCTGTAACGGCAACAACGAATTGATTTCTGAACACAGGTTTACATTGGGAAAAAAAGTGTACCAGTTTTATATGACGGGAAGTGTACAATTACATATTTATTTTATTGTTTTATATTTGTGCTTAATAGTTTATGCATTTTTCACTCTATATGTATTAACATAACTATTTAATAAGATATGGAAAGAGATTCAACCGAAATGCCGAAAATTCGAAATTTGTGAATAACACCATTGGCAATACTGTATTGTGTCAGGGTTTTGCTAGTCAGTCAACGACCCAATTGAAAGCGTTTAGTACAGTTTCGTGCGACTTCTACTGTGTATTAGTGACTTCAGGTAGTTGTTACTAAGGTGATATGGTTTAATTGTCGGAGAGGAATACATCAGTGTCGATTCAACGAAAATGGCACCAAGAAAACGTGTTGAATGGTCGTCACGAAAGAGAGCCAAAGCAATTATCCTTCGAGAAGAAGGTTACACATATCAAGAAATAGCAAAAAAATTGAGTGGTGGCGCTACAAAATCAAATAAGGTAAAAGTTTGTAAACGATATCATAATATTGTAACGAAAATATTTTGCCTACCACAGGGGGCATTAATATAAGGGGTAGAAAATTGGGGGAGAGAAACTAAGGGGGTGGAGATAAGGCAAGCAAAATAAACGCTACTTATGCGAACGGCACTCAGGGTTTCGTAGGAGAGCTGGGGTCGTGAATAAGTAAAGATAGGGGCATTGGAATGGGGGAACTACAAAAAATGAAATAAAGGGCTCTTGGGATAAACAAAATAAAAATAAACAAGAAACACCTCAAGGAATTTAATATAGGGCGCCACTTGAGGTGCCTAATTATGCCTATTACAACCACTAGTTGTAACTAGGGAAATAATTAGAAAACAAAACCAAAACATAAAAAACATATCTTTTTCAAATAAGAATCAAAAAAGGTTTGGCTCAAAAAAATAAATAAAAAGTTAAGACAACAAAATTTAACCTTTATTTATGTGTCACCACAAACAGTTACATGGAGAAATACAAAATCCAAAAACTTACATGTGTCATCCATTAACAAACTCCATTGCTACAAAACTCACAAAATTGCATGGAGGTTAACCTTTTAAAAAAACAACAAAACAAATCAACATCAAAAATACTAAATTAAAAAAAAACAAACAAATCAACATCAAAAATACTAAAACAAGCTGTCATAAATTAACATTAAATTTCAAAAAAAAAAACTAAACACAAATTGACAGCTTTACTCAAAACCTAAAATTTACAATTTTAAATGTCAACGAAAGCAATTATTATTTTATAAAAAAAAATGTCTGTCTTTAGTTTAAAATTTGAACGAAATGTTACCTTAATTCACATGACACACTTAACTTTCTGAAACCATAACTGGAACCTGGAACTGAGGGCTCCATTCTCTCTGCATGACGAAAACCTCCATCTCCAAAACTGCCAAAAGCCTTGGATAAAAGCAGGAACAAAAGAAAAACAAAACGAGGATGTCCTCCAATCCTCACTCAAAACATTAATAATTGAAGCATTTACTGCCACAAAACCAATAACAAACTGCTACATATTCTTCATAAACAAAGACGAAAACAGAATACTTTACAAATTCGACGTGAATTTGGACATAACGTTGAACCGCTGTTGAAAGCTGCTACAACCAGGGTTGCCAGGTGAAAATTTTTATCCTCCCTAAATTGAACATTAAAATGTCCCTAGAAATCCCTAGATTTGAATAAATGTATATCTATTTGCCTAATTCTAAATAAAATGATGGGATGTATTAATGGTTGCCTAATATAATAATATGGAATTAAAAAAGGTAGAATTTACCGAAAGTACAAGCTGATTATAGCCACAAATGTCAAACATGGAACAAAAATTTCGGTATAGCAGTGTTGGCATGTTTTTATGATGTAGATGCTGTGTGCTTCAAATATAAAAATATAAAGCTATAGAAAAGTACATTTTGTTTATATTATGTTGTGTATTCTGCAATTTTTGATTTATATAAAACAACAATGAGTAAATATTTGTTTTCTTTGGAGATTAATTGCAGTTAATTATTGGAAATTTTTTTAGCAATTACCCTTTGGTAGATTAGGAGATATATTTGGCAATAGTCAAATCAGCAGTTGCCAGATTACACCAGATGTTTGCAATTAATCTCGAAAGAGACAATTATAAATCATATATATCATCATATCATAAAATAGTATAATCAAAATATACATTTTAAAAGCTTTATCTCTATATTTTAAGCATACAATATATGCATTATAAAAACATGACAACACTGCCAAGCCGAAATATTTTTGACATTTGCGGCTATATTCAGCTTGTACTTTCGGTAAACTCAGCCTAAAAAAATAATTGTTGTTTTATACCTTTATTTCAAAAACATTTCATTTTTAAATGGTACAATAGCGATGATTTGAATAAATTTAACAAAAACGGAATAACGTACTTATTTATGGCTTTAAATATTCCATTTATTATATTATTAAGTATTATTCACTTAATAAAATTAATGCAAAATACAACTTAAAAAGAAATGAGACGGTAGTGAGGCATATAGAATTTTATTTATATATTTCCACGAATCCTGGGATTCACCCGATTCTTACTGTAAATCCCCTAATTATTTATTTTATAAAACCTAAGATTTTTGTAAATCCCCTAATTCCTGCTCCAGAATTTGCTTCTCCTTTATAAAAATATATAGGACAGGATTCTATTTTTTGGTAGAAATCTATTTGGTATCATAAAATGAAGATTCCAAGAACGTGGACAGTTAGCCACATCTGATAATAGAATCCTTAAGTAGTTTACTAGTAGTTTAATTATGTGTAATGAAAGATCGCTTATTTAATACTGTTAATAATAAGTGGTTTTATACCTGGATGAAAGAAAATGTTATTATAATAAGCCTATGTAGGTAAATATTTGAGCCGGTCAAAAATCCCTAGATTTTACAATAAATATCAAAAAAATCCCTTTGTCCCTTTTATGCTGAAATATCCCTAGATTCGGGATAAATCCCTAGACCTGGCAGCCTTGGCTACAACGAGAGTGAAGAAATTCTATCAAAATTGAACGCATACACACAAACGCTGACATAACAAGACACCACGAAACGACGTACATATCTTTTTGCGACGCATTAAACCTTGAAAAAGAATTTGCCGAAGTAAAATAAATAAACAACTCAAAAATGGTTTATTTCAACTTGGCCGACCTAAGAAACAAATGAAAAGATATTTGGGTTTAAATACGTACAAAATATTTTTAGATCTATCAGAAATATATAAGGTGATTTTAATATTTCGTATACGAGGGGCCTTCGATATACTTAAAAGAATCAATGAAATTGAAAATGCTACAATATAAGCATAGAATATGCCGACTTTCTTTAGATCGTCGCAGATCCGCCAAAGACATTAATAGTATTGTCAAATCAACTGGCTTACAAATATCGGACCGCACTATCAGAAAAAAGTTGTATGAAAATGTATTGCGAGCACGAACTTTCGTGCCGTAGAAAGAAGCCGATTCCTGAACAAAAAAACGCATTGATTGGGCTTTGACACCCAGAGGGTGGACAGAAGAACAGTGGAGTGGAGTCATTTATGGTGATGAAATCAGAATCTTGATTTTTGGGAGTGACGGAGTCAAAGTTTGTTTCCCGCCGACCGGGGGAAGACCTTTTGCCCCAGTATACTACGGTCACTATGAAGCATCTTGTGTGTGTCATGGTATGGGATTATATGACCACTAATGGAGTTGGATGTTTAGCTGTAATAGAGGGGCAATATTAATGCACAGAAAGGAAGAGATTCTGCAAGCCAAACTGCTGCCGAATATCAGATATTTGTTTTGAAGGAGATGCTCAACAATGCATCTTCCAGCAGGATGGAGCGCCTTGTTATACGGCTAAGACTTCGATGGAAATGGTTGAGAAACCATGACGTTACTGTGCGGCCTTGGCCTGAAAATAGTCCCGTTTAAATCCAATAAAAAATTCATGGTCAAGGCCGAAAGTGTTAGTATCACGCCGAAGCCCAAGTATCAAGAGAGAACTGATAGAAGCCATTATTCGAAACTGGTTTAGAGTTATTACACCAGAAGATTTGGCTCGTCTCGTGACTTCCAAAAGAAGCTTAAAACAATGCAAGAAAATTATATATAAACATAAATAACGTAAGTCTTGTAAAAAAGAGGAATGCTGATAACAAAACTTTAGTTTCGACCGAAATCCAGTACTATCTTGGTTTTGCCGTCCTGAAAAATACCGACATCTCCCCTGAACTTCTTTGTAATTCTCGTTTTCATGTTGAGGAATGGAATATTTACCAGCGTAAATAAAGACTTTAGTTTTCTAGGTCGTTTTTTTCCTAAGAACTTAAAAAAATGTTGGTAGTAGATCCTTTCATTTTAATCTCTTAGGTATTTGGAATATTTCTTATAGTCTTTCTCAAATACTGTAATTTTAGTTTTTTAGTTAGTTTTAGTAGTTAATTTTAGTTTTTGCATTGACACTTTGTTTGAAGTCAATCAAGGGAAGATTCAGTTATTATTCTTGCTTTTTAGTATTACTCTAGATCATTTATTTTGTTATTGTTTTAATTGTGTACTTATAGTTGTACAGCTATGGCCTGGATTTATGTTACCAACTGGACGGTGCTTTACGATCTTCCTTAGTCAAAGCTTTAAAAGACGCAAAAGACAAACTTATAGATTCGATAAAACTTAGAGCCCTAGAAGATAAATGGATCCCAATTAACCTGCATTCCAAATCCGCTTTGGGAAGATTTCTACACGAACATTCGCAAATGGGATTAAATTTGGAGAGTTATGTTTCAGGTAAGTAAACATTTACTATTTTTATTGGGAATTAGGGGAAAGGGGGGAATAGTGGTCGCCTAAGCATTTTGGATTATTTATACTGCTACATAGGTTTAAAAAGTATACTGTTAGTGTAAATAAATCTTCAAACCTTAATACTTCAAACTCTTTTACAAAAAAATTTTAAACAGAACAAAAAAAAATAAAACGGCCTTTCAGACTTCTGCTGGTGGCCATATTTACCCGCTGTCGAGGGTAAAAATGCCACTGCCACTATGACCCCCATTTAAAAAATAATTAAATACAGAAATCGCAAATGTAAATTATTGCCTCGAAACTGGTACAGTCTTTGTGTGCCCATTGGCCACAAATGCTGCATTGGATTCCAAAGATTCTCTGTTTTTACTGAATTAGCCACAAATTGTGCAAATATCTTCGTTAACGTCCCTATCACGGTCATCGTTATCATCCTCATCTTCAGATGATATATCTTCTGTGTTCTTATACAATTTCTTTTTGGAACTCTCTATTGTTTTTGTGATTGGATCTTTTATTTCCAACTGAGTTATCTTTTGAGCATCCTGGCAGTGGAATTATGTCAACAAAAGATAGATACTTCATCCCCTTAACTTCCCTTATTATTCTTCTCCTTATCTAATCCACTTTTTTCCTCTTAGTCTAGTGGCCTTTTTATCTTTTTCTTTTATGAATGATTCACCTGGAGCAATGTCTTCCATCGGTAAAATTTTCAGGATTGTATGGAAATATTCCTGTATTCTCAAAACCTTTAATGACTTTGTCTGGTGTGGCTACGCAACGGTATGAATTTTTAAATTTTTCAGCAATTTCAAATGTCGAGATACGCTCATTAGGATGACTTCGAAGATAATTGCCACATTCAATGTTATACGCTGATTTTAACGATGAGTAAAAAGCTACATCCTGCGGGTGGAGTCGATGCGATGTGTGCAGGGGTATGGTTAACATGAATAACATGATTCCTCTTTCTTTACAGAAATTATGTCTCTAATGTACAGTGGCTACTGTGTTTTGTCGACGATTAACAAAACTGGATCCTCCTTTGAAGTTTAACAACACTGTAAAAAAAGCTGGAGCCATTCGAGAAAATATTTGCTTATTTATCCACCCATTATCCGAGCAGTAGTAGACTGCACCAGGTGGCCCAGTTTTTCTTTAACTCTGGTTTCGTCCTTTTGCGGGCATAAATAAACATAGGTGGAATATATGTTCCTGGGGCACTTATGCAGCACATAATGGTTGTTGTTTTGAACCTCTTTCTGCGCTTGTAATAAAGCCGACTCTCTTTTGTCCCTTTTCAGCAAGTATTTTTCCGGGGTTCTGGACGGTTGTTATGTCTCTCCCATAAAAATGTTTTGATAACTGTATGACCTGCTTTGTCAAAACTTCTTTTTCTTCTTTGGTAAATACAGAATTAACGACCTAAAGAAGCAGCTGTTGTATCATTTCGCTTTATTCGTAGTTGAATTGTAGATCTGGGAATTGCAAAACTTCTTGCAACTTCACGGACGCTTCTGCCATTATTTACTGCATTTATTGCTGCACTTAGTTGCTCAGCATTCCATCGTGCTTTGTCACTTTTTTTTCTTGTAAACTGGAGGCATCTGAAATATAAGAATTATATAAAAAAAAATACTTTGCATTATATACATACAATTTGGGCGTAATATTGGGCCGGCCAAACAATACTTCCAGGTGCGTGGCTATTTTAACCCCAAAATACATATTTATACTGATCGACTCATAATCCTTAATCACTTATTAGAGCAAGAACTTTTCATATAGTCTTAAACTACGTTTAAAAATTTAACAAATGGGTACCAATTATGCAGTTAAATAAACTTAATTACATACTTCTACATACCTTTAAAAAGCTTGCACTAATACATTAACTCCAACAAAAATTGCAATTTACAATACATCCATCATCATCATCATTGGCTTTTACAATTCTTCGTGAGTTTTTGCCGCGTTTACTATTGCCTTCCATTGATTCCGATCCTGTGCTATTATTTCCCATGGCCTTACTTCCATCTTCTCCAGGTCTTCTCTGACAGCGTCTATTCCACCTTTTTCTAGGCCTTCCTGTCGATCTTTTACCATCTGGTCTTTCCCAAAACACAATTGCTAATCAGTCTGTCGTCATCACTCCGTACCACGTGGCCTGCCCCATCTTAATCTATTGGCTTTTATGTATCTATACGATGTTTCCTTTCCCGAAGAGAGTCTCTATTTCATTGTTGTATCGTTTCCTTCCATTCATTTGTCACGCTGTCCCTGCAAGGACCATATATAATTCGCAGGATTTTGCGTTTCCCATACTAATAGCTTATTGATTTCTTTCTTTCTCAGTGTCCATGTTTCACTTCCATAATGTCACTGCTGGTCGTATTATGGTTTTGTACATTTGGATTTTGGCACGCCTTGAGAGAAGCTTTGACCTCATTAGATGTTGAATGGCAAAGAATGATTTATTCCCCGCCATAATTCGTATTTCATCCTCCCGTTCTCCTGTGTTTTCACTTCTCCTGCTCTTAGGTATTTGAATTCTTTGACCACCTCAAAATTATGATCGTTTATGGTAATGTTTTTGTCTTATTCGCTGTCGTTCCTTTTTTGATACGACCATGTATTTATTTTTTTCTTCGTTTATATTCATTTATTTGTTTGTCATTTAGTGTTGCTTTTCTCAAAGTTCGATACTATATCCTTAACTTCCAGTGTTGTCTGTGCTACTGCATCTACATCATCTGCAAATGCGAGAATAATCTTTGCTCCTCTGGCAGTTATGTCTGGTTTGACTCTGGTATAGATTTTTCGCATTGCGTATTCCAATGCTAGTTAAATAGTAATGGAGACAGCGGGTCTCCCTGTCTGAGCCCGGTGCTTATGCCGAAAGCCCTTATGAAGTTTTTGCCTCCTATTCTAATTTGTGCAAAGGAATTGTTGACACACATTCGCGCAATCATGGTCAGCTTCTTGATACCCTAACTCCATCATGGCACCCACAGTTTAGGCGATCTATGGAATGCTTTGTTTGAAATCTATGAAGATCTGGTGTACTTCTTTATTATATTCCCAATACTTTTCTAGCATTTGTCTGATAGTAAATATTTGGTCGATTTTTGATCTTCCAGGCCTAAAGCCGCATTGGTAATCGCCAATAATTTTCCTCTGTATATGGTAGTAATCGTTTTAGTATAACTGAAGCTAATATCTTATATGTAGTACCGATTAGTGAGATTCCCCTGTAGTTGCCACATGTATCCTTTTCTGCCTTTTTTATGTAATTGGCACGATAATACAGTCACTCCATTCTTTGGCTTTATTTCTGTTTCCCAGGCTTCTTTCATTAATTGGGTTATTTTAGTTCTAAGTTCATGCCCTCCTTTTTTAATCAGTTTCTGCATCAATATTGTCTAGTCCCGGGATTTGTCATTTTTTAGGGTTTCTATCGCCGTGATAATTCTTCCAGCTTGGCGGGGACTTCTATCTCGGCCGTTTGGTACTACACAATTTGCTTTATTTCCATCCGTGTCCTACCTGGACATTTAGCAGACTTTCAAAGTATTCAGCCCATCTTTCGATTATTTTTATTTTCAGCTGTAATCATTTGCTCATTTTTGTCTCTCACAAAAGTTCGGTGTTCTTATATATGGCAACCTTTCTTATGTTGTCTTACTTCTTTGTAGAATTTTTTATTTTGCTTGCTTCTGTGTTCACGTTTCTACTTTTTCAATTTGTTGTTGTAAATGTTGTCTCTTTTTTTCTCCTTACTGTGCTTCTGGCTAAGGCTCTCTCTCTATTGTATTGTTCACCGCTTTTCATCCGTCGGGTTTTGCTAGGTAGTCGATTCATTCTTCTTTTGTTTGCTTCTTTTAAGGTATCCTCCGCATTCTTCATCAAACCATTTTTTTCTTTTTGCTTTTCTCTTCCCGACCTATACACTTCTCTGCTGTTTCAATACGTTACAATACGTTTGTTTTGAATTCGATTTCCAAAATAGAAATCGAAACGTCAAAATAACTCTTTTTAACAACGTATTTTAAACTGAAATTTATATGAGCTATTCAAAAAGAGTAAGTTTAGAGTGGGCTGCATTCGGAAAAATAAGAGAAATCTTTAAAGCAAATGTCCCAATCCATTTAAAAAGGAAAGCTTTTAACCAGTGTTTTCTACCAGTCCTCACATACGGGGCAGAAATCTTAAATCTCACAAACAACTTAAAATGAAGAGATCAATGCTTGGAATAAGTTTGAGAAATAGACTAAAAAACGAGGAAGTTTATAGATGAACCGGTGTGCCAAACATCGAACGCATTACAAGGAAAAAATGAAGATAGGCGGGACATGTTGCAAGAATGAAAGACGACAGGTGGACAAAAAATTGCTTGACTGCAAATTGTAGAGCAGAAATAGATAGGAAAATCTAGAGGAGGCCTATGTTCAACAATGGTCAAATTAGACTGATTGGTGATGTTGATAATGTGGTTAATTCCCAATAAAAATAGTAAATAGTATTAAAATGCCACACTAAAATGGGCTAGTCATGTAGTGAGAATGGAGACCGAAAGAGTGACAAAAAGAGCCTCAGATAGTAAAATACAGAGCGGAAAACCCAAATAAAGGTCACAGAAAAAATGATAGGATGACGTGATAGTGTACGCGCAAAATTTGCTAGACCTTTGAACAACGAGAAAAGTGGCGTGGGGCCGGCCATTGTTGGAGGCATAGTTTGGAGGAGCCAAGGGTTGATTTGTGCTGGAGTGCCGTTGGAGAGAGAAATTAATTTTGTTCAACATCGTCACTGGTATTACAGCCCTAAATTAGAGTCTGCACCATCCCAAAGAGACCCAAATCGAATAAAAGAAGAAAGATGGAGTGAAAAAATCAGAAAATGGAAACATTGGGATGGAAAAAAAGAGAAAAGGAAGATCCATAACGAGATTGTGCTCTGATCTAAAGAAGACAGCAAGCAAAACGTGGCTGATAGAGCTATGTTCAATTTTTGACACTGGAAGGCTAAATAAGAAATTTATATTTTTTTTCATTTTGTTTGGAATTTCTTTGAGTATTTCCTTTTAAATTTTGTTTCTATATTGTCATTTCGTTGTATATATTATTTCTGAACTGATACGTAATGAACAAGGGTACGTAAATTTTATTTGTATTAAAAATAATTTTGGATTATTTATAAAAAGTTACTTTTCAAATGTTATTTTGCAGGTGATACTTGGATACAACTAACAGCGAGTACTTTATCGTTTACGAAAATGTTTTTCCAATTGTTAAATGACTGTATGAAGCTAAAAACGACTGAATTGGTATACACCATAGATGAAACTTTGTATAATGTTTTCGACGCTCAATTGAAACACAATGAAAATGCTCTTCGCAATGAGTTAAATCAGGATGTAAGTAGTTTTTTGTTTATCAGTATTATCTGGAATTAGGCAATGTTGCATGTAAACCCGCGTGTAGATTTTCGGAACAATTGGATTTTTAAAATCAAATGCAAATTAGTTTTATCTTTTGTTGACGTTGGGAAAAAATCGTCAAAATACAAAATTCGGCCAAAAACCCGCCACTGGTCGAATTTTGATCCGTGGCATCCCCTGACTTCTCTCGAGGAGGGCGTACACGCCCCCTCTATTCCCTCAACTGTTCTCTTTTGCATTTGTTCAATCGTATTATCGGATAAGGTTTAAGTCTTTCTAATTCTAACTACGGAGCATCAATTTAACTATAGTCTGTGGCACGTTTTATATTCAGTATGATTTAATTGGCAAAATAGAAGAGTGTTATTATATACTGAATATAAAAAAGAGAAAACTTGAATACTTAGGCCACCTGATGAGAGGACAAAAGTACACATTCCTACAAAATGTAATGAAAGGAAAAATCCAAGGACGCAGAAATCCAGGCCGTAGAAGAATGTCCTGGATGAGAAATTTAAGAGAGTGATTGGCTGTACCACTAACGAATTATTCAAAACAGCAGTAAATAAAATTAGAATCGCCCTAATGATATCAAATCTCCGATAGGAGAGGCATTCAAAGAAGAAGTCAATAGTTGCGTGATGTAACTGTTATAACCATAATCATATAATACAAGATAGACTGACTGCTGCAATCATCGAGCAAAAAGACAAAAGAGGGAATGGAAAGGTAGTGGGGGCAAAAATATTGTTAGACAGGAAGTGTGATCTTTAGAGGCCACATTAAACAAGGAAAGAGAGTCTCTCTCCTTGTATGACATCAAATTTAGTTGGGTTATGTCATTGTTTGTCCCAAATGTCACATGAAATCTTATTTATATTGAAGATTTTTAGCAATTGTGTCGAATTTTAGACTATTACCGTTAATAATTAATTAAAACTTTCTCGTCTAAAACACATTCTGAAAAATATTATATAGCTACTGTTAATAAGTGTCGGAAAATTTAAATTTAGCGCATTCGCTTTTCCGGATATGTTCGCCATCAGAGGCCACTTTTTTTCCATAAGGATTAGATTCCCTCTTTCGTCTTTTTGCTCGATGGCTGCAATACAGTGGTGTTCCTCCAGCGCGATAGAGAAAACTGAAGCAAACTAGTCCCTGCATATTTGTCTAATGGTCCGGGTTTATCGACCACGTGACCTAAATGACCAATGAGAAGGTCACGTGGAGAACCAGAATTGAAATAACTTTTTACCGTTATCTCTAAGACAAAACGTAAGATTTTTATTTTCGTTTCACCTACATTCTAATATATTATACAAACTATTTGAGTTAGGTTAGACCTGACTGATGCGACAAATCTAAATATAGTCGTCTTTATCGAATGCAAACTTTTAATTTATATCTATTTCTAGGTCAGGGAAATACATGTTTGTTTTTGCTAAAGTTTGATTATGTAAACTGCGTATTTTTGTAGTAAGTGAGTTAACAAACAATTTACACAACCAATTATTTTTACAAGAGTTATCGAGTGATTCGAGCGAAAACACGATAAATGACAAAATTACGAAATCAGTATTTTTTTACCTATGTTTTAATAAAATGAAATTATGTAGTTATTAAGTATAATCGTGAGTTTTACACGCTTTTTTTATCCTCCAATACAGAGGACGATCACATATATGAAACATATTCGGAGTTAGATGAAAATCAATGCCGGATAGTAGAGTATATGGACAATATAATGGAAAATGATGATTTTAACATAGGTGACTTCAGCTGACGTGGATCCAAATTACTGACAGAGTCATTTTTGGATTCTGAAGATATTGGTGGATCTGAAAATGATCTTGTAATCCGAAACAAAGTTGTAAAATTTCAACGTAAGAAAATTTTAATCTCTGAGACATTTACATTAGTGGTGACATCAATAATTGAAGGCATTTTAGAAACAGTACTGCGTAAGGTAACAAAGCCGAAAAGATGGCGTGAAAGTAATCCTGCTGAATGAAATTGAATTTTCGAAAAAAAGACGGTTAGAAGGTAGCACATATTTAACGAAAAATAAAATCAGGGCTCCCAAGGTACCCCAGCAAGTCAATTGTTGTAAATGTAAATTTAAGTGTACTGAAAAGGAGAAATGTTTCTTTCCACTACCTAACCATGAAAGAATTCTAGTGCGCCAAAAGTTTTTTACAAAAACACTGTGTATATCCCCAGATGCTGTAATGAATGCTGTAGCTAACAATGATTCTACTGGTTGCTGTTCTAAAGAGGTCAATCGCGGAAAACGGGAACCAGTTAATAAAATAAAGGCTTAAGATGTTCAATTTGTTAAAGATCATATTGAATTCTTTCCGGTTATGTAATCAGACTAGAGCTGACAGGATACCATTAGAAAGCACTTAGATCCGACTCTAAATATCAAAAAAATGTACCAGCTTTAGATAACTGCATCGAAAATAATCGAGACCCTGTTGCTTTACGTAAATATCGATATATATTTTGTGAAGAGTATAATCTAAGTTTTTTCACACCAAAAGAGGACCAGTGTCTTATCTTTGTCAAATATGCTAAAGGCAAATCTAGAGCAGAGAAAAGACCTACGAAGAACATAAAAAAGAAACGAAATTTGTCAGGCAAAATAGATAAAGACAAAACAAATGAAGACTAGACATTTATGTCCGTAACATTGGATCTACAACCAATTTTACAAATACCCAAAGGGTCTATTGGTCAATTATACTATCGTAGAAAATTAGTGGTATACAATCTCCATTTGGGAATAACCGCTACCGAATAACGTATATTGCTTGTGCTGGAATGAAATCAATGGCAAAAAGGGTAGTTCTGAAATCGGAACCTGTATGTATTACTATTAAGTCAATGCTTAAGACCTCAGGTTAAGCATGTTACAATTTTTTCAGATACTTTTGTGGCCGTCAAAACTGTAATACATATATAGCTGTACTGCTGTTGTAGATTGTATAAAATATCGACCAATTGGAAATTATAGAACAAAAGTTCTTAGAGGCAGAACATACTTATATGGAAGTGGATTCTATGCACTCGGCAATAGAATTTACAAGTAAACATGTAAATATAACTGGAATGACGGGAAAAACATATTTCAAACAGCAAGAAAACAGAAAGTGAAGACAGTGGACAATATAAAACATAATATAGGTCCATACAAGGTAAAAGAAATAAAATACAACGAATTTTTAGATCTAAAGGCACTTGCAGGGAACATATTGCAAAACAGATCAGTAGATTCTGATGATAATACTGTGCAGTGGCTAAAAATCAAGAGACTAAAATATATTAAAGGTGAGAGTAGACATATTTTTTTCAACTACGATCTCTCAGAAGAATTAAAGTGTTTAGAAATATCAGAACATATTGGTTTGAATTAAAAAAAAAACTCCTATTCTACGCTCTAAAAGACAATAACAAATTTCATCCCAAAAAGCAACCATGGACTTATCAACTCCGAACAATTTACCAAAGATATATAAAAGTACCCTTCCAATAAGTGAAGCAAAGAAAAATTATTTGATGAAGATGTGCCAAGAAAATATTTTTCCAGAAGAGATGCATGCTTGGATAAAAGTTTAAAAGCAGGTAATAATATTGTAGATCGAATTCCAGACGTAGTGATGGAAGAAGAATCGGAAAAAATTAGCTTTTATTTTTCTAAGAGCAATGTTGATTAGTTTTTGTTTTAGTTGAATAAAATACAGTTAATTTTTATTTTATAATTAAAAAAAAAATAAAAACCAATAAAATCAAATGTAGTTATTCAGCGAGGCAAAATCCGATAAATATCACGTTTTAATTATTATTATTATTTTTTTTTTTTGAAATACGCTTTAATAAATTAAACTGAAAATAAATTATTGTAACTAAAGATTAAATTCTCTATCGTTTGACATATGTTTGATAGAACTTCCTATGATGATTTTAAACGTTCTTCAAATTTACTCAAAACTTTAATCGCGATTATTTCAAAATAATGGTTTTGTTAATTATTGGGTTTTCGATCCAACCTCTCGTTATCTAAGTTTCCTTTTTTCCGATAAGGGAGAAACGCGTGTATACTTCACAGGAGTTTTAAACGATTTAAACCAATGTATTATATTTTTTTAGCAAAGAAACTTCCTCACTAAAAATGCTGAATTTTTACTGGTAAATGTGATCGAAGTATCACAGAAAATCTACAATCAAAATGTAGGCTATGAGTGTGCCACGCTTCAAAAACTACAAGGCGAATATGTGGCTTTAAAAAAGGGTGTTTCTCCAACAACTAGAAATACTAAAACAAAATACTCATCTGAATTTTTGTAAATATGATGTTAGATGATGATAGATAAGATAAACTAGATAATATTTGTTAAAATATGTACTTTATTTATAAAACCCAATATTTATTTAAGAGTTATAGCTGACTATATTGTATTATATGAATATATACATTTTTAAAGTGTTTTCTTACATTCCTGTCTAAATTAACCCTACATATTCTACTTTATAAGAATTGTTAGTATTTCTTATCAGCTAAAGTAAAATTGTCAATATAATTAGCACGGATTCGCAATTGCCATGTGTGCTATTATATATATTTTTAAATTGTGTATAAAAATAAACCTATAATCCCAAGAAGAAGAATATCGAAGGAGCAGATAAAATTCTTTAACATAACACTCAAAGGAATCCATGTAACAAGTTTCAAGACTAGAACTTTTCCTTCGATAAAAAGGAAAATCATAATCTTATGATAAGATGATTCAACACCAAATTCAATAGGATTCGTCCTCATATAAAGAAGAATTTATTTACCAAGTTTTAAGATTACGTTGCGATTTGGATGTGGATTATAAAATACAAAACTCATACTTCCTCGCACACTTCGACTTATTTTACACTTTGAAAACTCTAGGATAGCTTCTTAGAAATTGAATTATATTATTTTCTTAACGTTTATTTAAAAAGTATGTGAAAATCATTAGGCACTTGCACTTCAAATTTGAGTTGCCAATTGAGTTAATTTGGGAGTTTCGAATTTTACGATAAATATTAATAATTTATTCACGATTTTTTTTTTTTAATTTGAGCAACGCTAACTAGATGTCGTCACTAACGTTGGTGTATTACTAATTGCCTAGCTGCTAGAAACTGGCCTGTAAATACAGTCCATCTAATTTAATGACCATTGCACGTCATTATCATTGACAGAGATCGAAGTTGACATAGTTGTTAAAATATAAAAAATCCTGAATCCATTTTAAATCAAATCGGTCACATAATTATTGCAAAAGTGGATTAAACAACAAAACAAATTAATATTTAATGTAAATAAATAGAAACAAAAGAAGAGTTAAAAAATAATCTTGTTAAAAACAATTTGAGCCGCTTGTATGCGTCGTATAAAGATGTAAAATGGAATATTTATATAAAAACAACACTTTTTCATTACTTATTTACTTTAAAATGTTTTGTTACAATTAAATTTTCAAATGCGTTTTTCTTCAGATTTATTTAAATTTCGGTTTTCTGATCGATAGTGATTAGACAGAGATCGATTATATATCCTGTTCAAAATAATGAATCAAAGAAGCTACCATCTCTTTACAACGACTATTTAAATTCGTGACATTTTTGAAATGAAACACACTAATTTTGTTTTAAAAAGAACAGATTTTATTAAATAGGTAAAAATATAAAACAAGAGGTATTCACTTTAACACGTTGCCTGCCGTCTCGGTCTATGTGACCGAGAAAAAAATTGCTCTGCACGCCAGCGAGGTCTATTTCACCAAAAATTTTAATGTAACTGTGATGCCGTCTCGGTGACTATGGCGTGAACGGAAAGTATTACAAAAGTCTCTACGGCAGGCAACGTGTTAAAATTCAAAATAATAAAGTACAAAAAGTGTCAACACCGCAACTGTCAAATAAGTGTTACCAATTTATGCCAAAATATCACCTTCGTTCGATTACAGTTACAGTGTGTTCCGAACAAATGTTATTCATAAAAACGCTTTATAATGCATTTATACAAATTAAATGAAACATATTATTATGTATTTCTTTAAGTTAACATTAATAGAAATCTTTAAATATTATTTCTACGCGTATATAATAAAATAAGTCAGTGTACTCGGTAAAGTGATTCTAAAAAAGAACACACCTACCGCGTAAATATTTTGTGTTGGTATTTTGTGACCTCATGGGCTATGACGCGGATGACGTGCAACGGTAAGTAAATTAGATAAAGTATATAATTTTAGGCATTCTTTAAGTGTAAAAACATGACTCCCTAGATTTCACAAAAATATCTCACGATATAACTTTTCGCCTAATTATTAGTGTGCATTGTAAGAAAATTCAGCAATCGTTGACAGATTATTGAGTTTTTGTGTATAATATTTAATATAAAACATTTCGTATTAATTAAAAGGTAATTCCGAAATTTCAGTCATATTTATAGATGACAAATAAACAGAATGTATTTACAGAGGTTGGATTTCAGTATAGTGCTTCTATTATTCGCTTATGCGTATTTCGTTGTATGAGGACTCCTCAGATGTAGAGGCCACAGAATAATAAACAATCAGAATGCCCACTCTCAGATGCCGCCTTTGAAGTTTGTCAGCACGCGATCACCATGGTTTAAACGGAAACATGGACTCGAATTGAAAAATTTGTGAAAAGCTACGACAGAACTGTAATTTAAATTTTTAGATATTAATAATTTAGTATATTTGAACTAATTTGATCTATTCTTCAACTAAAAGTACAAATAAAATGTACCTACATATTATGTCTGTAGTTACCGTAAATAAATTACACCGGGTTAATTTGTCCTTGCACGCCAGATAAAATGTCACTGAACAGCACTGGTTCCGTTTAAAACATGGCTGATTTCGTCTGCGCGTACTTATTTTTTTTAAGCAGAGTGGGCATTCTGATTGTTTATTATTCTGTGTAGAAGCTCTAGACGTGAAATCAAAATGGTATTTAATTATTCCTTTTTATATTTAATAGTTTGCGTTTATGTTTTTTAAAGCCCACAAAAATATTTTCCCTGTTCTTTCTACAACCAATGTTAATATGGATTAAGTTTCTTAGCAACATTTTGGCAGAAAGTGCAAAAAGTTTCGCATTCGCCAAAATTTACTCTGTCAGAAGCGCTCTCGCCAGAATTTTGACTGTCATTTTTGTAAAATGGATAAAATTTACTTTGTATATACTCGATTTACTGATTCCGGTCCGGTTTCAACTGTCAAAATATTCCTAAAAGTTATCGCACATAATACAGACAGGTGGACGAACAAAATGAGTTCAATGGGAATCTATCAGGTCCTCAATAAAAACAAATTTATTTTATAGAAAACTAAAACAATACACGCTAATCTGTACGGGCAGAAACCCAATTTATTTCAAGTCCACTTTCCTAACCAAAACTTTACGTAAGATGGTTTGTAATACCACAGTGATACACAATATCTAACTGAAACAGTTTATGAGTAAACGTGTTTTTCTCTGAATCAGAAATAAAAACTTCGGTTTCTTAATTTCCGACATATATAACGTTTAATGCTGAATCCACCATCAGTTTCTCTGTACGTTACAGGTTCATTCTTCTAGTGTTTTAAGCTTACAGCGTGTAGACGCAAGGAATTTGCGACGCAATTGGTTTCATTTAACATAATTAGAGCGGCTTCTTTGATTTTTCTCTTTTTATTATCTGTTTCTTTCAGGATTGTACTTGAATTTTTCCATTGAACCCTATGTTCATTTTCCACTGCGTGGTTACATATTTGTGATCTATCAAATTCTCTATTTTTGATATTTCCTCGACAAAATGCAGTAGGATCTTGTTACCCACATTAAAACAGGAAATTAATAGAAAGAAAATAACACTATTAGTAAGTCAATTACATCGAGGATACATTATTTATATTTTTAATATAATAAATTATTATTTATATTATTTTTAATATATTAAATTTAAATAATATTAATTAATGTATCGAGGATACATTATTTATATTTTTAAATAACATACATATAAAATCAAACTTTGGTGTTAATATTGGGAGGAAACTAAATGTAAGTCCAAATACTTACCATGTCGGGATAGTATCATAAGGTTTTTCTCATGATTCACTAGGGAGGCACTAACAGGGGAATTTTACAGTCATCATTCTTCTTCAAAATGTGACCATCTTCTAGAGATGTTCGCAGCCACATTGACCCATCTTATTCTATTCAGAGCAGCTCGAAATAGATCAGTTGACGTTAGACCAGTCCATTTCCCAAGATTATCCAGCCAGGATATACGTCGACGTCCAGGGTCTCTCTTTAGTGGTGGAACTAGTTCCGGAACGAACAGGTTCATTTTATATCATAAATGAAATAGTTCCGAAAATTAAATGGAACTAGTTACGGGGAACTATTAACGTCGCTGCTGATCTGATATTTGATACCGTCATTTGTGCGAACTGCATCTCTAAGTATTTCCTCGATCGACGATAACGAAAAAGTTCCGAGCCGATGAACTAAGATAGTTCCGAGGAACCGTATGATAATCGTAATCGGTTCGGTATGCTATGCTTAATCGTTGGCTGTCAGCTTCAGCTTGTTGTAGGTACATACGTATATTACATATACTGTGCTTCGATTAATTTATTATAATTGTCTGTACTAATTGTCATACTAATTCACCATGTAGAATCTTATGTGTACCTTGGCACCAACGTAAATGAAAAATGGGAACAGACCATAGAAATTAAGGCGAGAATAGAACGAACTAGAGCAGCATTTAGCAATATGAAAAAGCTCCTCATAAGCAAGGATTTGTCTCTTCCCCTAAAACTACGTATAGTTAAATGCTACATTTTTCCGATCTTGCTGTATGGCGTTGAGGCCTGGACGCTGACGGAGACGCTAACGAGAAAACTAGAAGCATTCTAAATGTGGGTGTACCGACGCATTCTTCGTATATCCTGGACCGAACATGTCACCAACATAGAGGTACTCCAAAGAATCGGAAAGGAGAAAGAAATCGTGAATACAATTAAACAAAGAAAGCTTGAATATCTAGGCCACATATTGAGACACGATAAGTACCGTCTGCTACAATTGATTGTCCAGGGAAAAATAGACAGTAAGCGAGGGCCAGGCAGGAGAAGACACTCTTCTGTCTCCAAAACCTGCGGAAGTGGTTCGGGCTCACATTGGTCGAACTATTCAGAAGCGCCACAAACAAGATCAAAATTGCCATGTTAATAGTCAACGTTCGCAACGGACAGGGCACTTGAAGAAGAATTGTCTGTAGTAGC